GAGACATCACGCAGGGGGCGGGGCGGGGGGGGGGCATGCTGCAATGCCCTCTCTTCCAGTCTCCTCTTGGGATGTTGGGCACACACACACACACACACACACACACACTCACGCACCCAGCGTGAATTTTAAGCCAGCAGGTCTGGGACTCAAACCTCAGTCAACTATGTGGGAGTCCAGCAATGTAACCATTATGCCATTTGCAGGTCACTACGTTGCTTTTTTTCGAGGTGGTGCAAAAGGAGGTACTTGAGGCCCTTTCTCCAAGTGAGCAGGCAAGCAGGCACGTGGGGCTGGTGAGGGCATGGTATTTTATTGAGTTACTCACATGCCAGCTTCCCATCGAAACTAGACAAGCAGATGGCAAAGGCTTGGAGAGGGCAAAGTGGGAAGCGGAAGTCCATGGTGAACGAGTCGGGGGCCACACGACCAAACTGGAGCACCAGGTAGTTCGCTGAACAGGAAGACAAGAATTAAGCTTTAGCCAGACCCCCTCATCTCCCTGCCTCTGAGCCGCAATAACCAGGACTCCTTAAGAAGTTGTGCGGGACCCTTCATAACCCCTGAGACCCTGAGGGCTGTAAAAACTACAATTCCCAAGAGGCTTTGCAACAGCGTGGCTTCTGCCCTGCCTAGACTCTCAAGGGCTCATGGGAGAAGTAGTTCTCGTCTGTTCATGCCCTCTAGCCCCCGGTAAGCCGCTTCCCAGAAGCTCACGGTCATCCGGGTACACAATCTGGAAGTTCTTGACCGAGGCCCGAGTGACTCGACCATGAAAGTTGAGCACGTAGGCTCCGCTCTCCTCACTCCACGATGGGGCTCTGTTTTCCAGCAGGATCAGTCCCTGTTTGGCTCCCCGCTGGAGGCGACTTAGTAGTGACTCCTGTTCCTAGAGGGTAAAGTAGGGGCGTGGGCTGGCTAAACTACCACCCACCAGCCTTTTTTCTAGGTCGCAGAGTTTCTGAGTTTAGTTGGACTCCCTGAGACTCCCTGAGTTTCTCAAAGTCCTTGAGGCTTTCGCTGTGATCTGCACTCCACTGGCGCCGTCCTCCCATGGGCCCGCAGTCCCCCCATCCGCCCAGATTCCTGACCTTGAAAACGCACATTTCTCGGCTGAACGATGATTCTCTGGTTCTGGCCGTCCATTCCTGGGATGACCACAGTCATTTTCCGAGGACCCCGCAACCCCAAGACGTTGGTCTCCTGAGAATATTATGTCCCAGTCAGCCTGGTGCTTTCTCCTTCCTGGCTGTCCGGCCCCACGCTCTCTCATCCCAGGGACACTCACATAATACACAGCTCCCAGCTCCTCTCTGATCCGAGCGGTCTCCGGGATGAAAGTCTTCCGGTCGGGATTTATCCCCTTGTCGAAGATAGTGAACTTGGTGCCCAACATATTGGATCTGCTCCAGGAGGGAAGTGGTAAAATAAAAGCCATCATTGTCACTCTGTACTTTTAAGTCCTTTCGTATCGGTTGACTCTTCCCATCCATCCTCTAGTGCCCTGTACCCCTGGTCCCTGCCCCCTTTCTTTGCAGTTTAGCCTCTTCCTCTGACCCTCTTGGAACCATTTTCCCTCTAGGACCCAAGGACTCACACATCCCAGGCCTCTTCTCCCACAGGAACCTAGGAATCCCAGGCTTCTGCCTCTCAAGAACTCAGATGCCTTAAATGGGAGCCTGGGCTCCAAAGCTTTCAGCTCTTCTGTCCCCAGCCTCCCTGGGCTTACAACCTGAGGAACTACGAAACCCATCCAGCCCTGGGAGAAACCGTCCCTGAGCAGGTGGAAATTGTACTCTGTGGCATGCTGGGAAATCTAATACCTTGCCCTGCCCCCTGCTCGCCCTCCCCACCCTCCACCCCCCACGGCTCCCTGTCACCTTTCTCACCGCACATCAGGGCTCTGCCCACCTGACTTTGCCCACAAAGTTGTCCCCATCCCGAGACAGGTCTGTGGGGTCCAGGGAGATGAGGTAATTAGAGGTTTTGCTCCTTTTTCTCTTTCGCCCAGCCAGGAGGAAGTGCTACGAAAGGAACACCCTATTGGAATGGATTTCTACTATTTGGCCAGAAACATCCCACGACAGGAGAGGGTGATGGAGCTATAGGGGCCCCAAGGCTTGCTAGGAGACGTGGTCTCACGGAAGGAAGCCTTGAGCTATGTCCTGAAGGGGAGCTTTGCATCTTATGGTCTCCCCCTCATTTCTTCCACCTGTGCACCCTGGGTCGATGTGCAGCCGAGACAGGGGTGAGCCTGACTGTGACAGGGTTTTGAGTCCTGAGAGGGTGAGCATGGCCTGACCTACAGAAAGGAGGGTCTAATCTGGTATGTGCAGAATGGGGAGGGCCTAGGCCCCTGGGCTCTATGAGGAAAGGATGCTGTTCTGGGAAGGTCCTAGCACAATGCAGAGCAAGGCCTGGCTGGGTGAAAGGCGATTTGCTCAGAAATGGGCAGAGCTAGCCCCTGGGAGGTGGGGCTTCCTCCCGAGGCTGTGGGCCCCGCAGGATCTAAGGCCGGAGCGCACCTTCTTGCCGTCCTCGGTCTCCAGGTAGAGGTAGTAGAAGGGGAACAAGCCCTTGTCGATGCCGCACTTGTCGCGGCTGATGCGGCACTGCACCATCTGGCCCCGGGACGCTGGCTGCAGCACGTACTGCCCCATGTTCTCGCCCAGCAGAGGGCCTGAGGCGATGAGTGTCGCGCTCCCTTGGTTAGGGCTGTCTATAATGCCCTCGCCTCCCTGGACTTCGGACACCTCAGACACCTCGGACGTCTCGTTGGCTGCTGCCGGGGGGCGCACTTCTTCAGGCGTCAGTTCCTCTTCGTCCAGGTCTTCTTCCTGGCCCACACCCCACATCCAGAGCTCAGTCCCTGGACCTCGGACACTTCGGACACCTCGGACACTTCGGACACCTCGGACACCTCGGACGCCTCGTTGGCTGCTGCCGGGGGGCGCACTTCTTCAGGCGTCAGTTCCTCTTCGTCCAGGTCTTCTTCCTGGCCCACACCCCACATCCAGAGCTCAGGGAGAGCCAGGTCTCCAGTCTTGCCAATTACTGATGGACCATCCGCTCAGGGTTACCATGTTTTCTTATTGGTCAGATGTCTCAGCCAGCCCACCCGGCCCCGAGCCGCAACATCTGTTGATTGGCCAGCTCTAGGGGCCTCCCTCTGCAGCCACGCCCACTCCCCTTGCTGATTGGCGAATCCCTTTACGAATACTGCCCATTAAGCTAAAAGCTACGTTCGTTTGCTCTAAGTCGTGAAACCTAGAAATCAGCCTGTGTCTAACCCATGGAACCATCGACTGCACTTTCACCAACACCCAAGCGAGCGCCAATCAGTCATTCCCTCTTACTGCTGCTCTCACCCGGAAGCTTACAGATTTTCTTTTTCTTTTTTTTTTTCTATAAAGAAAAAAGTTTTGCTATTTTGCACATGTGCTCCCAAGAGAGAGACAGAGATGGAAAGTGAGAAATCATGCCCCAGGAGGGATGGCCACACCACGATCACTTCTTCATTCTCCACCTGGGGTTCTGGGAACACAGGCACATGTGCCCACTGGGTCCCTCAAGCAGCAGGGTCTAGGGCTGGAACCGCCCAGTCAGCCATGTGGGATCCAGCTACCTTAACCTTCACACCACTAGCTGCCCCAACGCTTGCAGGCTTTCTAGGAGCTGTGTTTCTATTGGCCATGCCCACTAAAACTGGTCAAATCCTCTCGACCGATTTATTAAAATGACAGACAAACCCCGTTAGCCCCGTCACGAAATGATAGTTTTGTTCTGCCCACTAAGGATGGTGGGTCCTTGGGCCAGTGGGTGGCGTGGAGGTTAAAGGGGCTGGATCCCACATGGCTGACTACTTCTTTAGAGTCCTGTACACAGCAGCTTGAAAAACAGGCTGGTTGCATGTGTGTGCATGCCCCAAATCCCCAGAGAGACGGAGAAGGGACTGTGGGGTGACCATCCCTTATGGGGACTGGGAGGGGGCTGCTTTCTCACTTCTCTTTTTCTTCCTCTAGCAAAATTTTTTTAAAAAGTGGGGGAGCAGGAGGACCAGCAGTTAGCGTAATGGCTATGTCGCTGGACTCCCACGTTAGTCGACCACAGTTCGCGGACCGGTCCTGGTGGCTTAAAACTCACGCCGGGCACGTGTGCATGCGTGCCCAAGATCCCGAGAGGAGAATGGAGCAGAAGGGATTATGGTGTGGCCATCCCCCTTGGGGGGGGATTTCTCGCTTTTTGCTTCTCTGTCTCTCTCTGTCTGGCGAGCACACGTGCCCTATAGCAAAAACCTCTCAAAAAAAAAGTGGGGGAGCAGCAGGTGATGTAGTGGTTAAGGCAGCTGGACTTTCACTTGGCTGCCCGTGGTTGGAGTCCCAGATCTGGCAGCTTGCTTTCTCACTTTTCTTCTCTCTCTGATAAACTCCAAAAAGATAAAATAAGGGGCTGGCAGGTGGCTTGGTGGTTAAGGGTGCTGGATTCCCATGTGGCTGACTGTGGTTCAAGTCCCAGACCTGGCAGCTTCCTTTCTCTCTCTCTCTTTCTCTCTCTTTCTCACTC